GTTTTTTATTATATTAGTGTTGTTATTAGGAAGATGTTGCTGCCCATCTCCTGTCTGTCTCCCTCTGTCGCCTCTTACGACACCCACAGGAAGATATGGGGTAGTGGATATTCTCAACCGCCACTGCACGGCTAACGGTTTCGCGTAGTGTTAGCAAATTAAGGAAAAAATGTGTCAAGGAATCAAGGCTGGTAAACAGATGATTATTACATATATGTTTTACACAATAAAATTTCCTAATATCTACTTTTAAAATATAAATTACGCGAGATTAAAAGAAACTAATAATTAATCACACTGATTACTTTAGTTCACTTTGTTTCGCTCCGAAGCTTCACTTGTATCGCCAAATTCAATACCGCCCCGATCGCGGCTATGGGGTGAGAAACGAGCACATAGTCCACCCGATGGCATATTTTTTTTAAATGTTGAAATCTTAAATGATTAAGTCTTTAGCCTATGCATGCTCAATTTACGCATACGTTTAATGATTTTTGCTTCTACTGTTATTAGTCAATAACCTATAATGCCGCTCGAGAATTTTAAGAGTAGAGTCCTCGAGACTAGCAGATACAGTAATTGTAATGGACGACACACACAGTCAGATCAACTGATCATTGCAACTGATCAGTTCAAACTAGGACTGTAGATATTTTTAAAAATATCGGATTTTCGATATATCGATAAATAAACACATATAAAACTCCGTGTAAAACGACCGTGTGTGGCGACCATAAGAATTATGTTTACGTGATATTTCACTGAGATATTCTACAGCACGTTTCGTCGTCGTAGTTTGTCGTAGTCTTTTTTCCTCTTTTTATTAAGTACAACGATGACAAAGGAGCATATAGTCCACCTGATGGTAAGTGGATTCTGTGGCTCATAGACCTCCTATCTTTAATTAAAAAACAAAATGTAAATGCTTTGTCGCCTCTGAGGACTAAGTTAGTGTGCCTCATTCACATTAAAAAACGTCTTCGGTGCCTCCGTTACACTATTGTAATCGTCCTTGTTATTTGAATTTACGAATGGTGAACTTAATAATGCGGTACAAACTCTTTGAAATTTAAAAAAGTACTAACTACTAAAATACTGGCTAGTAAAGATATATCTAAGCTATATCTGTAAGATAACTAATAAAATAAATTGATTATCGTTCGTGTTTTAAAAAAATCTATCATTTTCGGTTTGTCGTAGCTTTTTGGCTAAAATTGAAAAATGTTGATACGCGCTATATACTCATCGTACAAGTCGCTCAAGATTTACAGGCATATCCCCTTTAGGGTTAAATGCTCCGCCGTACCTTATTTGACTCCTACCCACGAAAAAAAAAGATATGTATATACATATATATATAATATCGGAATCCCGATATATATATATATATATATATATATATATATATATATATATATATATATATATATATAGATATATGTATATATTATATCTACCCAAGCACAGAAGGCAGTCGCTGGATGTAGTAGATCTACTGACAAAGTAGTTCCGCGTTCCAAGAGGATAGTGAAGAAATGATAGTTAAGTGGTATAGGACCTTTAGTTCTCTTACTTCTCTTCAATAATCTGTATGTAATGTCTTTTATTACATTATAATTTTTGTCAATGCGAGAGACTAATATATATATATATATATATATATATATATATGAGTAATTAGTCTCTGCATTGTACTTTTGATAACCTTATTTCTTTTTTACCACTCTAATGTTGAGTGTTAAATAAGATGTGAGTTAATTAGCAAATTAGTCGTTACGGATCCCTATTACATAAGAAGTATTACTATCTACATTACTTTGAAACTTAGACTTTGTCTTTTGTTTTGATTTTATTGTTCTAAGTTAGGTTAGTTTAACAATGTAGGTATTTGATACTGTTAATTGACTGTAATCTTAGGTTTCGACCACAGATTAATACATTTTTGTTTTACAATTACGCAAAGAGTATATAATCACTATGTTATTTACCTAAGAGAAATATCCTCTCATTACAGAGTATTAAATGTTCTTTGTTTACTAACATGGAGATTTGTTTACTTGTATTTTTTTAATGCAAAGGTATCCATGCTTATGCGGCCTTGTCGGACGTGTACTTTGTTTACATTATTGCAAGCATAAAAGTGGTTTTGACTTAACGTTTAATATATATACTCACAAATGACTCCTAACGTACTACTCACAGTACATAATTCTATTTAATATCAGTGTCTGTGGTCTCAGTTATTTCTCATAAATACCTTGTGTTATATTTTTTTGTTCAATCAAAAGTGATCTAAATGGTATATTATGTGTAGTACCTTCTTTTCTTTTTAAATATTTGCATTATTTTCTATTCTGTAAATGCTGGTAGGTAGTAAATTTAACTAAAAGGTTTAGTTTATAATTTTTATATTTTTATAGTTATTAGTATTTTTTTAATAATTTACAGTTTTTTGTTTTTTTTTAATATTTTTGTGAGGATAACATGTCTTTTAGTGAAAATGATCATATTCAAAGCTCCTCCTCTTTATTTTCAGTATGTGATGAATTAAGTAATGACGACAGTTTTGAGAGCATTCCTCCATTAAAAGAGACCCTTGACTCCCATTTTTCTCAAGTTATCAAAAACTTCAATATAGTCCACATAAACGCACAGAGTATTCCGGTTCATTATCCCGATGTGTTAGCTAGTTTTGAAAGTGATCATGTTCATGCAATTCTCATTTCAGAGTCATGGTTATAGCCATGTCTTCCTTCTATATCCTATTCCATTCCAAGATTCCAGTTAATACGCAACGACCGTACTGCGCGAATTGGTGGTGGTGTTGCCATGGGTTGGTGGTTGTGTGGGTTATTCGTGCTCATATTCCTTTTTCTGTTGTTTGTTTATCATCTCCATCTCAAGCTGAGAACGGAGCAGAATACTTATTTGTTGAAGTACTTCTTTCGCACAATAAATTACTTCTCAGAGTTTTTTATAGTCCTTCTTCCACAGTGGACTATTTTACTACTTTGGATAACCTTCTTGAAGAGTTACCTCCATTATATACACATACAGTGCTAATGGGCGACTTTAATACTTGCCTTCTCAAGAATGATGCCCGATCTCTTCGGCTTAAGTCCCTTATAGAAGCAGCCAATTTAAATATCCTTCCTCTCTCTGAAACTCATTTTTTCCCTAACTGTATCGCATCCCTTCTTGATTTGGTTATCGTTTCTTCTCTTGACCATGTTGATAGTTTTGGTCAATGTGCTGCCAATGCTTTTTCGTATCATGATCTCCTGTTTCTATCTTATATCAAGGATACTTCTGCAGCGTAATTTTGAGAAAATGGATTTGGAACAGCTTCAAAAAGACGCTGCTAATATGAATTGGAGCGTTATAATGAAGGCTTGTGATGTTGACGAACAGGTAGCATTGTTTAATTCACTTCTTGTTCAACTTTATGATGCTCATGCTCCTGTCCGTCCAGTGCGAATACGTCATCCTCCAGCTCCGTGGTTGACCGAAGATCTTAAAAGATTAATCTGCAGGAAGAATAACGCAAAGTCAAGTTACAAGTCAGATCCGAAGAATGACAGGATTCGGGAGAAGTATAGACTCCTGCGGAATCAATGCAACAAGATGTGTATTACGACGCCACCACATCAATAAATCAGTACAAAACGAAGATCCATGTCGTATTTGAAACTTCTTAAAGTCTATTGGAGTTGGGAAAACACGTTCATGTCCTATTCCAATTAACGTTGATTTAAATTTGCTTAGTCAGCATTTTTCTTCCGTTTCTTGCCTGAACAATATGGCAAAATCAGCAACACTTACTCAACTTTCATCGTTTCCTACTCCTGACTTTTCTCCATTTGTGTTTAGGCAATTTGCAGATTGTGATGTTAGGAAACACATACTCTCTATCCATTCCGATGCTGTCGGAAGTGATGATGTGAGTCATAAGATGATCATTCCCTTGTTAGACTTTTTAACACCTATTATAACCCATATCTTAAACTTTTCCATATCCTCATCTTCTTTCCCTTCCCAATGGAAGGACGCCCAAATTCCTTCGCCTTTACCTAAAAAAGCAAATCCTTCAAGTTTTTCTCAATATCGTCCTATTTCAATTCTTCCTTTCCTTTCCAAAGTTTTATGAACCCCTTGTCCAACAACAAATTAATTCCTTTTGTTTAAGAAATAGCATACTTAGTCCTCTCCAATCTGGCTTTAGATCTGGTTATAGTACGACTACGGCGTTATTAAAAATCACCGACGACAATCGTCACTGTATGGAGAATCATCAAGTCACAGTATTGGTGTTGCTGGATTTCAGCAATGCCTTCAATACTGTTGATCATTATATCCTGTTAGGGATTCTGCGTTCTCTTAACATATCTCCAACTGCAATTTCCTGGTTTCATAGTTATTTGCATGGGCGCCGGCAACGTATTCGTGTCCAAGATAGACTTTTTTCGTGGCTTGATACCGTAGCTGGCGTTCCACAAGGTGGTGTCTTATCTCCTCTTTTATTCGCAATCTTTATTAATATGATTACATCCCAAATTTTTGAATTATTCCAGATGTTGACTGCAGAAGACGATAGTACAGCTATGCTGCGTATGACTCGTGGGACAGTCCTAGGGCCTTGCTCTGGTTGTGTACCGGCCAGCTGCGGAAGAGCCCATGTGGAGATCAGGGCAGCCACCTTCTGCACAGCGCATGTCCTCAAGGCCGTCGATCTTTGGCGAACTGCGCTAAAATATGGAAAGCATAATGGACAGAATGCAACAATTCTAGCTTCGTTTTACGTATTTATTATTTAATTCGTAAATTATCGTACATAAAGCTTATTAGCTTAATAAATAATAAATAAATTAGTAAATAAATGATTCAATATTATTATTAATATTTTTTGATATTTATATCTAACAAGAAATTATTTTGACATGTTTTATTCCATATAAGAAAAACTAACTATAATTAAAAACCTTTATTACAATCCTTTTCAGGAACATTTTGAAAGAGTTAAAAGGCATTACTATTTAAAAAAGCCTGAGGAATGCAAGTAAGATGTTTTTTTTTGTGTAAATCGTTCAAATTCCTACAACTGTTATTACAATACAAATAATAAAAATATTGAATTTATATGAAATTTTACAAAATATTTTAATTTTAATAACTGTTATTGTCTGTGTTTTTTTTTAATATAAATGTAATACGTCGTAGTAGTAGTGTAATGTGTAAGTACGTCGTGACTGCAGCCTAGAGATAGTCGCAATCCATTTCCAACAAATGAGGTAATAGATGCGTTGTAACTCTTGAGAACACAAAGATAAAATGTCTTTCGACCTGTAGCAACACGGACTATCATACAACGGCAGCAGTTTATCTTTAACACAACATTAATACGTATCAATTCATTTTCTTTATCTTTTTTTTACAATTAAAAATATATACATATTTATTCAAGATACAAAAGCAGCATTCGACAGTTCAAACGTAACTTGATGATGCTGAAAGAAGCCAGAGATGAGAACGGAGATCTGCTGCTGGCACGCACCGATGTCATGCTCGACATTGCTGGTTGCTACATTATGAGAAACGTTAGTTTTGAAATAGTTTTTGTCATTTACATTGAAGCAAACTAGCTTGATAAGTATACAGGGTTATTTTGCAATATATGTACGGCCAAATTTGCGGAGGAGGTTCAGAATAGGTAATATAAGTGAATGGTTAAAAACATAAAGTAATAAAAAAATTCATATATCATAATATCATACATATATATATATATATATATATATATATATATATATATATATATATATATATTTCATATTCAAAATGTGTGCAAATGAATTACTTTAATTCATTGTCATTCATAGATATTTGTCATTTACATTGAAGCAAACTAGCTTGATAAGTATACAGGGTTATTTTGCAATATATGTACGGCCAAATTTGCGGAGGAGGTTCAGAATAGGTAATATAAGTGAATGGTTAAAAACATAAAGTAATAAAAAAAATTCATATATCATAATATCATACATACATATATATATATATATATATATATATATATATATATATATATATATTTCATATTCAAAATGTGTGCAAATGAATTACTTTAATTCATTGTCATTCATAGATATGTAGCGCCTACTATTTTATTACGCATGCACACATTCGTAAGGGAATTTTGAATTTCGAAGAAATCAGTAGCCTTCGGCGCTCGCACTTGCTTACAGATTTAGATTATGAATATTACATTTTATACTTAAGTTTAAATATACAAATAATGATATACCGCTATTGCCAGTTTTGAAAATACGAGTATAAAAGGTTTCTACTTTTACTTGAAATTATTCCAAATTGATTGTGATTTATGGACAACAACTCAGCGTACAGCTATACAGCGTCCGCGCTGTCGCGTGTGTACGAGTCAACGCAAGGAGCTTTTGCCTGCTATTTACTTTTTCAATGACACGCTCACTACTAAGTTGATAACTACGCGACGCGAATTATGATTTCAATTGTCCCTTCTTACTTTAAGCTTTTTTTACATTTATTTATTTATTTAACAGATACACCATTGGCTTATCACTAGACATTGCTAAATATAACACAATTGGTTTTGTTCAAAATGATTCGCCTTTAAATGTATATACAACATTCACAAAAATAGTAACATTTCAACGACGTAACCGATTACTGTCTTTATTATGATGTATTTAATAAATTGGAATCAAGTATTTACAACTATTAACTATTTACAACTTATAACACGTAATCACTTAACTGAATTGTTAGGTGGTGGAACCATGCTGTAGCTATATTAGTAGTATAGTTTTAGCACGAATGAGTCGGCTCGACCGGGGAAGGACCACGCTCTTACAGAATATCATACTGCTGGCGTAAAATAGCAGCTTAACGCTGCTGTGTTTCTTATGGTGAGTGTAGAGAACTGGAGACCCATTTTTCTGGAAAAGAGGTATTCCATCTCAGTCTTCACGGGTAACTACGCATTTGCATTTTGATTCGTAATCGAGGATAGATGTAGAAGTCAGCAACCACATACCATCAGATGGACTATGTGGTTGTTTGTCACCCTTCTCCTAAAAAAAATCTAACACTAACCACTGACCAAATGTTTCGAGGTGCCATCTTATTTTTAACTTCCCAGTGGGAAGTTATTGTAATGGGTTCGATTTTACAAATTGGAAATTTTAACGTATCTCCACGTTTCAAGGTCTTTAGAGTCGAATAGTATGGTTTTTAAGAGGATGTCCGTGTGTGCATATGTACGTATGTATGTATGTATGTATGTTCGGATTCAATTTTCGATTCGTGTATCTCGAGAACAAAGAGTGATATTGATATGGAACCAGTTTCATTTAACGCATAATTATGTAACTTAGACCTCATTAATTTTGAGCATAATTGGTCAAGTCGTTTTTTGTGCCGAATGAAAAACTAAAAATAAAATATTAAAACATATGATATTTATTTATTCTTTCCACGTCGTTGTCGTCGTTTTATAGCATTGGATGACAAACGAGCACACAGTCCGCGTGATGGTAAGTAGATGCTGTGACCCATTGACATCCATATTTATCCTCAACTAAAAATAAAAATGCAAATACGTTGTCACCCCTGAGGACTAACATGGAATGCCTCGATTCCAGTTAAATGGGTCTCCGGTATGGTATATCATTATATATTTTGAATTTATATTATGAACTTAATTATTAAATTTGGCTACTTTTTTGAAAAATAACCTCGTATATACAGGGTTATTTTTCAAAGAGACCCATTTTAAACTTAAGTTTAAATATAGGTACAAATAATGATAATCCGTTATTAAAATTTTTGAAAATACGAGTAAATAAGGTTTTTTCTACTTTTATTTGAAATTATCCTAAATTGAATGTGATTTATGGACAACAACGTTTTTCGCCTACCCATCGACCCTTACGAATGTATGCGTGCAGAGTAAAATCAGTTAAAATAATGTACTACCACGAATTTTTAATTTAAGAGATGTGTCGCCATTTGCCTACGTTACTTATTCTGAACCTTCTTTGCAAATTTAGTCGGTTGTTGCAAAATAACCCTGTATAGCCAGTAAAGACTTATGGAATTTAAACGTGGTTCTTTGTGCGATAGAAAGGGATGTGCTAAAAAATTCTCTACGGGATATAATCCCAACGAGTCCCCCCCTCGACAGTTGTAGTAACGAAACACCAGCCAGGTATGCGGTGGCTGCAGGCGGCTCAGGACTTTGTGGCAATCTATGTAGGACGTCTATGTTCAGCCCAAAATGTAACAAGCCCTTCTTATTGGCCTCTATGATACGTTCATAGAGGCCAATAAGAAGGGCTTGTTGCCCTTACTGGCGATAATATTTGTTTCGATCCAAATTTTTACGATAAATAATGATTAGTGGAATAGTGGAAGTAATTTCAATTATATTGAATAAGCAATTTTTTTTCTTAATACTTTTATTTGTGTCAGTTATGAAACGTTGAAGTTATGGTGAAGTTGACTCTAAATGTTTAAAATTAAAATTCTAAGCATTTAAAGACAACCTTACCGGGTCACAACGGTAATAATGCCGGTAACGTTTTTAAATACGTCAAACGTTACCAATGAAACATTTTTATACGTAGCACCGCTGGATACTTTGCTTTGCCGTAGCTTAACAGAGTTCAACGTCATTACCTTGTAACACGTACATATGTGTTCATGGCTGAACATCCTCGTTAATTTTCCTATTGCAGCGGAAACCCTTCCGTCACCTCCACGTCATGTCCAAGTCTATGAGAATTAAAAAAAATATAAAATATTAAGTTATAACCAATCAGTACAGCCCATAAAAGTTTCTTATTGACCATAGGCCTTCACAATAGTTTTCCTTAGTTGCCACGTTTGACTTTGCGTTAGCCGCAATCGAAATTTTTCATTGTTACGAGTATATGTTGTTATCCGGAAGATCCCGATGTCCATCTCCTGTTTCTGTTTCTCGATATCGCCTCTTATGACACAGGGATATTCTTACACCGCCACTACATGGTAAATTTTTAGGCATAGGGATTGATTATCTTGCGTTGCCATCACTTTTTTAAGAAAAAAAGTTGATTCTATTAATTTCTTTCCACTAGCGCGCGGACGTATCGCTTACCGACGAGTCGGACGAGATATGTCTGCGATCGACGTTTCCTTGCATATTACAGCCGCGCTCCTCCTTACAAACCCTCTGGAACACCTTCGTGTGCTGCGTTATTATTACTGTGTGCTTTGTGAGTGCTTTTATTTACTATACATTTTACTATTACGAGAATTTTCTGCAAATTGATTCCGCAATGACAATGATAACATCGAAAAATGCGGAAAATCGTATAAGTTAAAAACACATCAGCGTTTGAATGATGGATTATTGAGACTTGAGGATAATAAAACGGCGTGGAATGTATTTAAATGGTACAGTATAAATCGTTAAAAGTTAAAGTTACATCCTATATACGCCCCACTCCGGGCACAGGCCTCCGTTCATTACTGAGAGGGTTTTAGGGCAAGGAATTGTCAGCCGCGCTCCCCCATTGCGTGTTGACGAGCCTCACATGTCTTCGAAATATTTTTCCGTCCCATTTCTCAGCCGTACAGGTTTACTCACAGTGTTTTCCTTCACCGCCGAGCACGTGGTAAATCAGCACTTAAAATTGCAATTATCAATTTCATTGGTGCCAGCGGGGATCGAACCCGGTTTGCTCGCGTACTGTGATTTTTTTATGTGCGAGCAGCTATGCAGGTCTAGGGAAAGAGACTAGTATCACTGAGACCTAAAAGATCTATTGTGATCGCTGCTATGGCTATAGTTCACTACTAAGCCCTGTCTTCAATGAATAGAAGGAGTTGTTTAGCCGTAGGCAATTTCACTTCTTCTGGGCGGAGTACATAGTTTCCCAGATGAGTGTTACGTTTGCGCATTAAGGGTCCGCAATCAGTTAGGACGTGTAGAGGCATTTCTTCCGTTATGGAACATAACCGACACATCCTTGAGTTGCTTAGTCCCAGGACGGACATGTGATTTTTAAGACAACAGTATCTAGTTAGGGTTCTAGCCAGAATGTGCAATTTATTTTTACTTAATCCCAGGGCTTCTGAAGCGAATTTACTCTGAAACAGCTAAAAGTTCAATATTTTTATTATAAATTATACAAGCTCTGGATTTACTGCCTTTAGTATTGACAAGAATCTTACCGGCAACCGCCAATCCCAGAACTTGACCGTTGGCCACCCAAGGCTCTTGTATAAGGGCGAGGTCAATGATGTCCTCTGCAAAGCAATCCTCCACCACGGCAGAAACAGCTGCTGCATGGTGAAGATTTGCCTGGAGGACCCTCGTCTTACCCTTGGGTTTAGCCATTTAAGGGCGTGGGGGGGGGAGCAGGGGTCTTTTCCACCTGTTGAGGACGAGGACGTCCTGTCTCTGACTGTCTGACTGTGAAATTTAGAGCGAGCGCTAACTATATGAGCTACCCGGCTCACAGAGGTATAAATCGTTACAACAATAATATTATTCGCAACTGTATAAGCGAGAAGTTCAAGCAGAAGGAATGTGGTTCCGCAAGGCATCCGTGCTACT